AAAGAGTTAACAGTGTCTTTAACTAATTTTTGATTGTCAGGGGTAAGATCCTTATCCTTATCCACTTCACTTCTTCGCCGCTACGAAGGCGATTAAAAAATCACAACTGCCTCGGTCTACCGGGAAGAGTAGTATCAACCAATAATGACGATGACGACAAAAAATAATAAATAAAACAGAAGACTGAAAGAATCTGTAATCTTAATAAAAACGGAGAAAGTCTATAAACAATCGTTTTATATTTGTTTAGTCATTACCATCTGTTGGGAGATCATTTTTTTTTTTTTTTTTCTTTGAACTTCCATTTTGTTTTCATTTCCCAGATTTGTCGTGCCTTGTACCAGCTGATCGCCTTTGTAGACAGTAACAGGTTCTGTCCCATGGAGACCGTCTTGGAGCAGTTTCTGTTTGGCAAATTCAAAAGAAAAACAGCATTAGATTTTGAGTTACCCAAACACTACGTGTATGTTCCTCGAATTATCGTCACCCCGACCCAGGACTTTTTGGTTCAGCCGGAGCTCGTCGCTGAAAACCGCGTCATAAGGCAGTATGGCCACAAGTACGCCATGCGCATTGCATTCCGGGAAGAAGATTTCTCCAAACTTTCTTCCTTTGCAGAAAGTCTTAAAGATGTTCTGGAAACACGTGTAGTGAATCTTCTAAAGAAAGGAATTCACCTATGTGGTCGCCATTTTGAATTTCTTGCATGCTCGAACAGCCAGCTGCGAGATCACGGAGCGTGGCTTTATGCTTTTGATGGCAAGTATGGAGCAGGAGACATCAGACAATCTCTTGGGGAGCTGGAAACAATTACATGCGTAGCAACATATGTGTCCCGGATGGGACAGTGTTTCTCATCGACTAAAGAGTCTGTTAAAGTGAGCATAGATGAAGGAGTTGAAACCAAACAAATCAAGGAAATAGAGATACAATACAGTGACGAGTTCTTCGAATGCTGCGGCAAATTTAGGAGTGGAACATACGTTTTCTCTGATGGAGTCGGGAAAATTAGCCTAGCCCTAGCCAAAAATGTAAGAGTTACACAATATCATGACCTATTGTCAAGTATTTGTCAGAGAACGTATAGGTTGCTATCAACCTATTTTTTTAAATTTTGAATGGAAAATTTCCAATGTCACGTACTTTAAAGATTGTGTATGGAAGGCAGTGTTTGCCATTCGCAATTTGTGCAATCGCCAGTGAAGATTGCGTTATTTATAGTTGGTACCAAACTGACTGTTTTTCTTACTGATCCTTTTAGGTAGCAGATAGCTTGGGCTTACGTAAGGTACCGTCAGCTTATCAGATTCGATACGCTGGATGTAAAGGGATGTTGGCTTTGGATTTAAACCTGCCACAAGGAAAGAAAATTTTGCAATATCGAAATAGCATGAGTAAATTTGAATGTAACCACAAGGATCTGGAAATCTGTGAATTCAGCAGGCCAAGTGAGTTCAATTTGTTCGCCATTAACACTAGTCTCCCCCACAGCCGCTTTCAGTGTCATCACGCAACGCTTTCTCCCCTGAGTGGGGGAGGCTGAGTGTGGGCTGTGGGGGAGACTACATTAATACTTCATAGGGTAAAAGTTGATAAGTATGTATCTTAAACAACCAGGTCTTGACTTAGAAAAAGTAAAAGAATCCATAATCTAAAGCCTGTGTCGCATGCACAGACAATGCAAATGCATATGCAATTGCAAACACAAACAATGTTTGCATGTAAAATGCAAATGCAAGCAAAATACGATAAGCATGCGCAGAAAGAATGGATGAACAAGCTTGTGGTCTTAGGTTACGCACGTTAAGAATATTAACAAAAGTGCAAGGATATAAAAAAATATTTCTTGTGTTCGTACTTTCATATGCATTGGCCGGCTTTTCTCCCGCATTAAGTTATTTTCCGAGAAAAATGTACAACTTTAATAATCTACCAAGCACAAAAATACCTAATATTGCTYGTATGCATCGTTCGTCTAAACCAAGTGTAATGAAGACCATTGTTATCTGTTCACGTCGTTTCTCGTACCCAGACCCTTCAGTTTTCAGCGACATATCAAGCTAGTTTACTCTATATGTTAGTATCGAAGTTGGAGTAGAGAAAGCTTACCCCATATATGGTATGATATATGGATTGTGCGGAAAAGCGGCAAACAAAAAGGCCGTCGTTTTATAACGAATTCGAGATGAACATTTTTGAAGATGAAAAGAAAAGAAAAAAAAGAYAAGTAAAACAAGAAAAACTTTGGAAAATCGAGGAAGGATACGGGGGCGTTGCTAACTCGTGGTTCTGCCTCGAAGACAACAGACACAGGGAAATACGACAGTCAATGTTTGATATGAAAATCGATTTAAAATAGAAATAAATAAATAGAAAGCTGAGAAGTGTTTGGGCATGAGAATGAGTTTTTCGAGATGTTTGAAATCAAGATCAACATTCTCACCAACAATTTTTCCCTTCAGATCTGTTGTACCTCAATCGACAATGCATTATTCTCTTGTCTGGTTTGGGCGTTCCGGATGAGGCGTTCATCAAGTTACAAGACACCATGTTAATGCGACTTGCTTCCATGCTCCTCTTCGAGAAAGTAGCTTTAGAGATGCTTAGTCATGCAAGCGTTGCTGGGGGTCTGAAAGTTTCCACTCTGCGTAAAAGTGGCATCATGGTCACGTGTGAGCCATTCTTCAGGTCTCTCCTCTTAGCGATGTACAAGAGTAAGCTTGGTGACCTTTTGAGAAGGGCCCGTATTGCTGTCCCAAAGTCCCACGGGCGCTTGTTGGTGGGTGTGTTAGACGAGACCCAAACACTGGAATATGGTCAGGTGTTTGTTCGTTACACTAAAGACATCAGTGAGCCAGATAAGGAGTTCGTTACACTTACAGGAGAAGTGGTCGTCACCAAGAACCCTTGTTTCCATCCAGGTTCGTTGCACGGCTGGTTTTAATTTGTCGCTCGTTTTTGAGCATGCGCAGTTTGGGTCAGTGCCTGACCAACTACTTCTTTGAGGATTTCTGGTAATCATAGCCGCCATATTGGTTCGGATTTAAAACTGAGAGGAGTTTTACTTATTGTCGTTGTATCAACCAATATTGCGGCCACGTCATTTATTTATCTTGAGAATTATTGCAGATTAAACAATTTCTGTCATGCTACTTGTGTTTTAAGATGCGCCTAAAAAAAGATTTAGTTTTTCCTCTAAAGAAATAGAGACACTTAAATGCGGCAAAATCTGTTCTGACCGGATTTCCCGAATAGTTGCGAAATCCTTGTTTTTAATATCATTTTCCTTCAGTAAATAAATAAAATTAATCCCAACAAACTTGCCCTGATATTTCGTTCTATTCTAGGAGACATGCGTAAACTCCAAGCAGTAGATATTGAAGCTCTCCATCATCTGGTGGACTGCATCGTATTTCCCGCTAAGGGACCACGACCGCATACCAACGAGATCTCGGGCTCGGACTTGGATGGTGATAAGTACTTTGTCACGTGGTATCGACCACTAATACCTCCAAACGGCAACGAGAAACCAATGGATTTTCCATCTCCAAAGAAAAAATATCTTGATCGAAGAGTAGATGTGGGTGATATGATACAGTTTGTGGCTGAATATATCAAGAATGATCAGCTGGGGCCTATTGCTAATTCACATCTTGTTCACGCTGATTCCGAGGACAAAGGTAATTCTAGCTAAATGCTTCTGATAGTTTTAAAACTCAGGGTAGGGTGAGAGGATTATATGGATTCTGACCAGTTTGACCTCTAAAGCCCCGTTTACACTGGCGATTTTTGCGGCGATTTTTGCTGCGATTTTTGTGGCAAATTTCGGAAATATTTTGTCTCATCCTTCAAAAGAGACATTCGTCTAGGAAAATCTTGGTATCCTGAAGAAAACTTTATAAGTAAATTCTTTACCATTATTTATTATGGACAAAATCGCAAAAAATCGCTAGTGTAAACGGGGCTTAAGGACTGTTTACGGGGTAGTGATCGCTCCTCAAGCTAAAGCCCAACAAGGAATTTGACATCCCATCTCAAGAAACTTGGAATATATAGAAATGAGTCAGTCAGTCTATATAATGGGAACCTAAAGCCCCAACTTGGAATACGAGAAATTTCAATGGGTAAGTCCTAAGTATTGGACTTTTTATATTCATTAGATATGCAGGGGTGAGGAATATAACTGTGGCTTCCTTCTCAATGTCAATATCTCCTGGGTCTTCCTAAGCAAAAAAATTCCTGAATTTCAAATTGTCATTAATGTCGCGTATTCTATTACTACCATGAATTTTGTCGATTTACTTCAGGTGTTAAGTCAGAAAAGTGCATCAAGCTTGCACACATGCATTCTGATGCTGTTGACTTCCCAAAGACTGGAGAGTGTCCAACTCTCACTCAAGACCTCAGACCTGAACAGTATCCTGACTTCATGATGAAGACTGACAAACCCCGTTACAAGTAAGGACGTTTACCAACAAAGTTATCCTTTGCTAATGCAGGGACTGTATTGGTCGGATAAAAATACGAATTGGTGTAAAATGCCCTTTATCATGATGACTTTCTTTCGAGTTTTTTCTAACCTGTTGCTTAGGTCGCCCAACTTATTATCCTCGGGAATCCAGAGGTAAAATTCTGTCCCTCGTCTGTCATGTATGAGGTTGTTCATCCTATTTTGGAGCACCTTTTGGAGATCAAAGTGGAAAAGAAATTCTGCTAACGTTGCCCTTTTGATTCTGTTTGTTTAAGGTCGAAAGGAATTCTTGGAAAGCTGTTTCAAAAGTGTAACCAACTAGAAAGGGCGCGATATTTTATTAGTGAAGAAGGTCCAAAAGACTTGCAAGTGGACCAAGATTTGATCCTTGAGGGATACCAAGACTACGTTGATTCTGCTATTGAAATGAGAGATCGCTACAATACAAAGCTTGGTTCTTTAATGGCTTTGTATGGACTTAAGAATGAAGGGGAGGTTTTGACAGGATGCCTAACTAAAGTCCATTCCAGGGTTTCGGGTAGGTCATGCGAGAAATTATCCAGTTTTCTAATTTTTGAGTATCTTCTCAAAGAAGAAACGCTTGAATGTCATTTGAATAAAGGCAAGAGTTTTTGTCAACATAATCAAACGCATTGGAGTATATCCTCCCTCTCACCAAAATTTTACCGCAAAGTCATGAGAGAACCCAGAAAGTTGGACTCCTGGCTTTATCTAACAGGGTTCGTGCTACTCCTTAAACCCCTTGAATACTCCTTGAATTTAATTCACGTTTTCAAGGGCACTTGAAAAGCTCTTGAATTTTACGATTTTAGCGAATCTCCTTGAAAACTCCTTGAATTTTTGCTTTGATCATTACTTGCATTTTTCTGAAAAAGATCTAGTCAGAAAGATTGGAAAATCTGAAAGTCGACCATGTGCAACCAACGTGTAAAACCTTGGCATAGTTAGCAACATACTCCTTGAAAAAATATTTTTGGGTCCTTGTATACATCTTGAATAGTCCTTGAATCTTACGTGGTTACCTCAGCAGAATTTTATTGCTGCTCTTAATGCACGCAGGAATAAAATCTTTCAAACTACGTACTATGGAACGTATATTTTGCCTTGTTGCACCTAAACAAGTTACCTAAATTGGTGTCTGTAATGTTTTTTGTTTTTTTTCAGGTAAAACAGATGAGAAGTTCGAAGTTGCTCAGTTAATTCAGGCAAGTATTGCCTCACTTCGCAACCACCTCAAGAACGATTTCTACAGAGAATTTGGCGGAGAAGAGGAAGTTAAGGAATTCTTTGAAAAAGAGAAAGAGTACCCGCAAGAAGTTCTGTTCAAAGCATCAGCCTGGTATGTTGTAACATATAATAAGATSAAGTCGTCCAACCAAGAGGGCAACACCCCTGAAGAAGATAACGATGAAGAAGGAGGTGAAGCAAAAGATGGCAATGTTGGTGATGAGTGGGCCATTAGTGATGCCCCATTGATAAGTTTTCCTTGGATAGTATCCCCAATACTCGCCCACATCAAGGCTTCGGCCAATAAAGATGCAGTAGGCGGCAAAACCCAAGAGATGAAAGATATCAGTAGACTGATTACTATTCAAGCGGACAATCTGTTCTTTGATGAAAGCGTTCGCAATGACATGATAGACGACTTCGAGATGAGGCAAAATGAACGAGATAAGCTTTTCGGTTACATTTCTGCTCGAAGTAATCAGAGATTGTTGTCCATGACGCTGCTTGGCGCCTCCATGACAGGGCTGAACATTCGAGATAAGAACCCACAGCCATTGCAGCTCTACGTCCAATCAATACACATTGATATTTTTGAATTTGAACGTATTCTCAAGCGGGTACGCATTGTCGGCCACACTTCAGTATTCCTCGACTGTTCACGTGCAACTATTGATTTTAAGGTGGGAGATCTGAAATGCTCTATCACCACAAACCACAACGAGCTGCTGAAGTCAGTGTATATCTATCGGCATATCCAACGCTGCCCTCGATTGCTACACTTACTGCTGGTCATCATGCACTGGGGGCGCAAGCGTCACATGACCGGAAGTTTAATAGACAGGTTTATGTCAGTAGAGGATCTTGCTGTGCTTTTTATTCGGTTTTGTGAAGAGCATAATTTCATCGAAAAGGTAAGAATAATAACCGAAACGAATTTGAGGTTATTATTCCCGATATTCACTGAGCCTGAGGTGAATAATTGTTTTAGTATAAATACACAGGTGATTCTTTCAAAAAAAGAAAAGAAAAGGAAAGAAAAAGAAGATAAAAGACACATTTTTTCCCGGTAACAGCAACAAAGCGGCTGGCTGCCATTTTGGATTATCGCTGGAGGTGATTATCGTGTGACAATGTGAGTTTTTTGTCCAATCAGCGCAAGAGATTTTCAATAATTACCTGTGTATTTAAACTTAAATCACCATAATAATTTTAGCGCATGTTCACTTTTTTATCTCCCTTATAAACAATAGCCTTATCAGACATATACCTCTTTCTAATGTCTCTGCTTCCTCATCACTTCTTCGGGCTTCCTGTTGCAAGATAGGGAGAATTACAACCTAGTAAAATACCAAACTAGAATCCGAAAACACATGAGTAAATGTACAAAGAGTCTTAAGAAAAAACGATGACAGCGACACTCTTAGTATTGTTCTTTCAAACTTTTTCACAGATCAAAGTAGATGAACTCGAAGAACATGACACAGGGTTTCTTAACCATGGGAACAAAGCTAAAGAGACGAAATGGAGGACAGACATACTTGAAGCAGAAGCACAGACGAACAAAGGGTTCCTTAATGGAACTGAACCAGGTTTGTAAGGGTTTGGGTACACGGCAGCAGTTGCGCATGCGTGCAACGTTGCTATGGGGTGTCCCTGCACGTAGCAACTATGCCTACAACAAAACTAGAATTTAAGAACGCTATTCATTTCTGGCAGGCGGTGAAAAAGCCGCAATCATATGGCTAAGAGCATCACGCCATTGATATTTTGGTCAATGAATTTTGCAGATGCGTTTGACAAATCGCCCCGCACACTAACGTTGTAAACTTAGATGTCGATTTCATGGCTGGGAAGAACGCACAGAGCAGACGTGCCATACCGTTATCGTGCCGTGTCCAAACGTAATCTATAGCGCTATGTCTTATTCAATCTATGTTGTCAAATTTGGCGGTTTTTCTTCTTCTGCAAAATCTAAGACGCTTTACAAAACTCCATTTCGATCTGTGAGTCAGCCGTGCCCTGACTTAGATCAGCCCAGAGGTTGTTTAAGGGTTCGAAAAAATCATAGGCTTTTGAAGTTTGCAATCCAAGGTCACAAGAATTCTATTCCATCATCCCCGGACTAAGTTACATTACTTCATTATTAAGACATTGTTACATTGACAATTAGGAATGACTTTGATCAAGTTCTTTGAGTTCTATGGTAGTGATTCCGAGAAAGAACCCCTGCACATCTCAAATATCAGGAACCCCGTTCAGCCTAAAAGTCTCTTGTTCCATCGTCTAAGTCAAGAAGATGTTCAGCGCTTTACGGACGCCGCACTTCATTCTTTTCACGAGATTGCGCAGTGTAGAGGATTGGACAGGATCCTAAAGACAGCAGAACACGAGAACTCGAAGGAGATGCAAGAGACATTATCGATGCCTAACTGTACTTGGGGCGCCCTGAGGTTTGCTGAAGACTTTGTTGCCCATGGCCTGTCTGATTTGACTGGAGCTAAAGTCAACATTCGACCAGGTATTCCTATTTTTAAATAATACTATTATTTATCAATACTAGTTCAATTATTGTGGCATAGCCTTCCACAGTTTGAACAAAAACGTTTAGCCATCAAATGCAGGTCTAAATAAATATGGACTGTTTCATGAAGTGTACTAGATGAATTGAGTGAATCGAGTAATATAACAGGTTTTTCCCATTTTCTTACCAACCTTTTTTACTTCAGGGACCGCAGAAAGGGGTCCGTGGGCTTAACTACCCTGCCTTTTTTAGTTTTAAACTCCCACTATCGAGAGCGCTCCTTGGTCCTTGTGTACTTGCCATTTTCTTAAATCTGTTTATCTTTTACGATAATGATCGAGAAGTAACGCACAGTAATTCTCTTAGTGCATGTGCTGAAATATTAAAGCTGGCAAAAAAGTAGGGTAAAGAGAAAGGTTCTTAAATAGCTATGAAAACATTTGGATTTTTGTTGTGTTTTTTTTTAATCATAACAGCAACCCGAAGAGGCGGATACATTATGGAGGTAAGGGGAAACTACTTGACTCTCTACAAGTGCCAGGCAGAAAGACTGAAACTTGAAAACAAGTCCACTAAAGTCTACGTCTACGACCACACTATAACTGGCGGTTGCTATTTATTTTTCATTGGTCAAACATCGGCTGCAGATCGGGTAACAGCGAAAGCACTAAAGAAAGACTTCGCTGTAAATTTGGATTCTGCTAACCCTTCGAGTAGCGAAGACGAGAGGAAGCTCGTGAGGGCGGTGACGAAGCAACTTGACGAGTTCAACGACAACTACGTTAGCTATCTTCATGGATCTAAGACTTTGAGGATATCAGTTGAATATGGATCTATCTACATTACAAATGCTCATGCATGGGTATTGGGAAGCACTGTTGGAGACGTGGAGAAGGTTCTTCGTGCGTCCGCTGACCCAAAAAATCGTGGACATCACGGAAGAAGGAATACTCCAACTACACCACCTGATCATAAATTTAACCGACTTCAATCTAATTTGAACTCTTTGGCGGATATAGAAGTAAGATTATCAGAGCTGGGAGAGGTACTGCTCGTTGAAGACACTAAATTCTACATGGTAGAAATAAAGATAGCCAAGAACCACGATCTGAAAATCGTTTATGACGAAAATTTGAAGTTTGAGAGATACGAGTTCGAACCATTCAAATGGCTCGTTGCGGATCTCAAAACTCCTCGACCAATCCGATCCAGAACACGAGACATTGATTTACGTGTTCTTGTGACGTCACCGCGGGAACTAGACAAACAGGAGTCCCAAGAGCTACCAATATACGAGACTTTTGGTAAAACGGAAATAATAACGTTGATAGGAGGCCAGCCGGTCGTGTCACAGGAATATCGCAGAAGTGTGACCTTTGTTCACGAAGTAACCAAGAAAGTATATACGATAAACAGAAATGAAAGTCTCATATTTGTGGAAGTGAGCAACATCAAGAAGAAGAACCACAATAACAGGAATAACAGGAACAGTAGTCCGAATGATTATTGGACGCTGAAGCTGTATGGAGAATTCCAAAGCACTGACGTCGACAAGGCAGAAAAACTGACTAAAGTCATCTTGTCCTTGGGCAAAGACATCAAACCTCGTAACTAAAGCAGAAGGCTGGCGGTTCTAGTTGTTCAATATAAGGAATCCATTTATGAAAAAAAATTATCTGGAATAAACTCGTGCATAGTGTTCCCAAAGAAAATGCTATAAATGCACAGTGAATAAGCGGTTTTTCTAGTGACCTACATGTATCAGTTTTGACAGAACTAGAAGGCCAAGAGATGGAAACTCATGGCAATGGAATTTTGATCTGCAAATTAGTAGGCTGGTTTACAGACCCAGTATATGGAAGAGCGTCGCCGTTCTGTAATGGCTCCTGATCTGGGAATAGGATGGCTAACGACCCAGTACTGTACAGCACTTCAAATGAATTTTATGTTGGTCGATTCTATGTGAAGTCACTGAAATCCCTCCTGAAAGCCATCTTAAAAGTGAATAGAGAATACAGTACAGACATTCATTGATGAACGCCAATGAAATCGTTCCTGAACACCATTTTAGAATGGAATACAGTAAACTCGTATAAAAATCAGTTTAAGATTGCCTTATCAGACTCTCTAGCTACAAGACACCAACGATTGAATAACGACCATTTGGTAAGAGGCTCTGGCAGGTTAGAATAAACATTAGCTTACTACGATTGCAGCACAAAGACACTAGTCTGAACTCCACAAATTCTAGAAAGTTAATAGCCGGAGTAGGTAAACTGGTCATGCTAGCAAAGATAGTGACCTCATGCTGATTTTCATTCATATCTCATTGTATTCATTTCTTAAAAGTATTTTTTAAAGGAAATATTTGCAAATGACGCTTGTATTGAGTTAAATATTTTTGAATTTTCGTAGTAAAAGTTTTTCCGGCTTTGCAAACTCAAAACATTTGGGTACTAAAAACATCATGTTTATACTTTCGTTCACAGGCCATCAACTCCATATCCATATTTGAAAAGCTTACCTTATTTGGGAGTGAGCCAGAATCCTTTTTGGTGGTTTTTCCTTCAGTTAAAGCTTTGAAATGTCGAAAATATGAATCAAAACTTGCAGATATCAAACTAATAAATAGCGAATTGTCCACCATCTTGAATTTACTTAGAAACCTGGCATTATTTGACAAAGGAAGCCCAAAAGTTCAAAACTACAGGGATCCCGCGCCGACGACACATTGAACAGTGACGACGATATGTTGAATATTAGAATCTCTAGAATTTGGGTTTTGTGTCCGCTGCAAGTTTGATGAAATAAGCCATTATATAAAATGTTCCAAGTGAAAGGAATGCAAGGTTTTTAACAGAGTAACGAAGAGACGACGTCACAAAACTGGTTATTAAGAGTGTGTGTGTACTGATAAAGGCAAAAGATATATAAGTGAATCCCATTGCCCTATTTCACTATGCCGTCACTGCTTGTTTATGTGGGGGATAGAATCGCAAAATCCAATAGAAATTGCTCCTAGCGAAACAGTTTAATCTAAAATGGCCTGGTTTTCAGATATAACATGTGTTAATATGTACTAAAAAATATTCTGAGTGTTTACTAGCTATTCTACTTCTCTTCGTGGATTGATACGCGTTTTAGAACAATTTTCGGTGAATTTGCGTTGATTTGACCCCCTCCGACGACCATGATCCTTTGCATTTAAACAATAGATTGTTTTGATGTGACGTCATAGTAAAATAGGGCAATAGATTACTATAATAATACATCGAAGAGTGGGATGCTATAGGAGAAAAATGTCCTATGGGAAAAAACTTTGCTTTGGGAGAGCGAGATTGCTAATTGAGTGAAGGCTTTCACTCGTTAATGAACAGTAACTCATACACAAGGCATTGATTCGTATTTGTCCTTACAACCTTTTAAGATCTTAAAGTTATTGTGAAAGTCCTCGAGATCCTGATCAACATTACGAAAAAACAAGTCGTCGTAAATTTTATTCTTAAATTATTAAAAGCTGCATGTAAAAATAAAATATGTAGAATTTTAGAGCGAAAAGCTGGCAGCTGATATTTCTACATCTCGCAACAGCTTTGAAGTTGGCAAAAATGTAGGCAATAGAGAGTTTTAGATTGGCTTTTTTTCTCCCCGCAAACGGCAAACGTGACCACGTTTTCATCGTTTTCCTGTACTTTACTTTACCTTTTACAAACCTTCTCACCAAAGACAAATATTCTTTTGTTTTTCTACTACTTGGACTTTTTTGCGATTCTTTTTAAGCTATTAAAAATAATTTTTAAATGGTCAACTGACGTTTCACGTTTGCCGTGAACGTAAATCTAAAACTCTCTAATGTTTAATTCTCCGCAAAAATGGACATTTCACAATTAAATTGTAAAGTTTGAAAAAAATGAAGGTCGCTGGTAACGCATCGCTACGGTAATGTATAATGTTCATTTTTATGATGTTCATTCTTAGGAGAGTCGCTAGAACACGATCGAGCTAATTTTAAAAATCTAACATTTTGTAAAAATAATAATAATAAACTGAGATTTATTTTTCACCTGCCAGGTAAAATTACTCTAATTTGATTTACTTTGAGACTGAGTGCGGGGAATGGTTGCGGCCCAATTCTCCCGAACCAAGAGCTGATGTATAATTAAAAACAACGTAGTAACAAACTGTGAGCTACGCCTGCATGTGTGCTTTCAAACCGGACAACGATATTAGTCGCACGTCCTCATTGCCTGATGGATTTTTTTTCTAGGATAATTCTTAGAGTGGCGTCATACCGATTTCAGATGACGGCACGGTAGAGAGATACTAGTTCAGTGAATGAAATTTTTCGGATTCTGGGTGATGTTATTAAAGCTAAATTAAAAACGGAAAGGAAAAAAATGGAAAAACAAATACTATCATGCAGGCTAATTATTAGGCTAAATAGAAACGAAAACTCGAAGAAAGAAAGAAAGAAAGAAAGGAGACGAGAAAAAGAAATAGAAAAAAAAAAGACGAAAGAAAATACAGAGAAGCATAACTGAATTAAGAGGATACATCATCGAGAACAATGGGCACAAGAGAARAAACAAGGGACAAAAAGATACAGGTTAAGTGGAGATTACACAATTGCAATCGGATGTCACTTCAGTATCCTGTTGTTATGCAACCCTAAGTACCATTATGGGTATATTTCGTGTATATGTGAGATTGTTTTTCGTGTAGAATAAAGTGTTTTTTAAGGACCATAAAACAAAACATGTTTCATCCAAATCCAAGTTTACACGTACATAAACTTTCTCGTTATGCAGTGCAGCAAGTGATCTTATATTCAAAAATAGTTGGATATGTTCGAGTGTGTGCAAAAGTGAAATGTCTTAAGAAGTTTCTTATTAAGACCATTAACATCCTACTCGATCCAGGCAGACAAGTACTTAACAATCGATCAGTGTCAGATCTTAACAATCGATCTGACAGTGAAAAGCTATTTTTTTGACTTACTTACTTCTTTATCACGTCACTTGCATTTACATAATTAGACTAATCTTAATTGATTTTAATTAAATTTTAATTGATTTTAATTTTATTTAAATCAAATTATTAAAAAGCAGTTGATTTCTGCTAATGATGTCTGTGATTTTATTCCCAAAATTACAGGTTCTCCATCTTTTATCCTCACTTTATTATAAATTCGATTAATAAAGACGGCAAAAAGAATCCCCAAAAAGTGCCTACGTAATTCCTTGAGAATTACAGAAAGAAATCTAGAAAAGCTGTAATTTATATTTCTTACATTTCATCGTAATCAACGATGTAAATGCAAGAAATATCCTGTTTTTGTGTGTAATCCATTAAGCATTTTATCTTTGAGTGCTGAACACTACAAAATTGGAAACTGTAAGATTCACTGGTCGAATGATCTGGAAGTGATTGATTGGATTGAGAAATGTCTAGGCCGTATCCAGGATACTCAACCGGAGGTGATTGAGCGTATATTCAAATAGAAATATATATATAATACATGTGCGACAAGTACGTGCAAGATTTCCCATTGGTGCTACAATATGATATTGTATTTGTATTCTAAGACTAAAGTCAAGTGAAAAATAGAAAGAACACAAGAAAAACGAAGATAATAGTTATATACGCCGGACTTGCACATGAAGTGTGTTGATACTAAGTCGAGTCCTTAGTGAATTTAAGGCTCTTTGCGTTGTTCGTAGACAAGATTTGTCCCTAATTTGTAAAGGAAGAACTAACGATTACAGTTCTATAGCTTTTGTTGCAGTTTGAAGAAAGAAAGGATAGCCGTTTAGCTGTTTAATACAGTATTTCTGAAGACAAAACCTGGTAAGTTTAAAACTGTTTCAAAAGAAAATTTGTATTCAATTTTATATCAGGCTATAGAGCGGTTTTATTTTTTTTTATTGTTGAAAATTCTATTGCTTGTAATTGGACTAAAATTAACTATCTTGAAAACTTGAGGTGGCAAAAAGGGGGGAAATAATTTGCACGAGTGTTGGAACAAGTTTAAAAAAAAAAAACAGCTGTAAAAAAAAAATAATTCGAAGAGAAATCTATATTTCGACATTTTGTCATAATCAAATTCGAATATATTGTTATTTACTTTGGAAAGAAAAATTTTTTTTCTGCCCCCGACTATTTTTGTTATTGCTTCATACTTAATATGATGAGATTTTCACCAAAAAACGTATCACAAAATTTAATTTTTGATATGTGAAAATGAAAAAATATTAACGTACCATATCTTACCATATCGTGATAAAAATCTCTTCACCAACATAATAAAAAGATCTCGCAGAATTTATTACTTCAATTTTAAGTTACTCAAAGTTATCTTTAATGATAAACCTCTTTTTATATTGTATTATTTACATAAAAAGTTACAGCTTAGAGATAGCCAAGGTTCTAAAAGCGCCTGGAGAAAAATATTATCCGACTTAATTATTAGTTGGTGGAACAAACACTTACTAGGTTTTGTACATTGAAACATTCGAAGATGAATAATAAAATTAACTTATCACTTTCGCCTTTATTTATCGTACTTCGTGAACCGCTGTGTTTAATTTATGAGAGGAAATTTATTCATATCAAATTTTAACTTATAGTGAAATACTTTTTTCCTTTTGGCAATGATTTAATCATCGAGGTATTGATTTTCTTTATAAAGATTAAGTGTGTTTCATTTGTTTAGAATCGCTATTGCAAAAAATACCTGAATGAAGGAAATAAGCACTTCACTAAGGCTTTTTTCAAAAAAGTTAGTGAAGTGATTATTTTCTTCATTCAGTGTTAAATATATTAGTGTTAAATATATTTGATTTGAATTTATTACAGGGCTCTCATTGATAACAGTGTCTTTGGGCATGACTTAATGGATTAACAGGAATAAATAAAGGTTTATTATTATCATTATCTAAACTACATAGCGAAATTGAAGTTATAATTCAAATTAAGGTAAATTAAGCAGGATGTGTTTTTTTTTTAATATCATTATTATTACTTGAATTGTGCTTTTCACTTTCGGTGCTATCAGAGTTTCATCCATTCTCGACTTTCACATCCCCATAATCCTTTGTGTCTTTGGGGGGTAACCAGAGGGTAAAAACCCACTTATTTTGCTAAAGGCTGATCAGGCAATGTTGGAAATACCTTGTTTGGTATCCAAAGATAAAATGAAGAAGTAAAAAACAGAAAAAGATTGAATACGTTTAAGGTAAATTGTAAACATTTTTTCGTAAGTCAATACATTTTCTGTAAGACCAAAACTCTTCATGATCTGTACACGCAAAAATAACKTGGAATAAACTGATAATCAGTATTGTACAGATAAAAGCAGGTATAGTATAAATTCAATTAAGAAACCTTTCAATTTGGGACAGTTTTTTTATTTCAATTTGGGACAGTTTTTTGACAGTTACCCCCAAAAAACGCAAGGCATTATGGGGATGTGAAAGAAGAGAATTCTTCCGTTCACTCATCCATTCAGCCAACGACCAATCCGTTGCTCGCTTCATTTTCTCTCTTTCTTTCTTTATTCCTTTCCTATCGTCTTTCCTCTTTCTCATTGCCTTGCACTGCATGATCCTAATAATATGTAGTTTTTGATGTAGACATCATATTGTTGCTGTTATTTCCTGTCTCACTACACTATGAGGCAGATGCCTTGCAGTGAGTGTTACATATACGGAATATCAACTGATTGGCTTTAGATTCTACGGGAAGCACCCATCGTAATCGTAAGCTCGATTAACTTCTGTTGACAAAAACCAACGAATCACAAATCACAAACCGTTTTATCTGATCATACTCGGAAAGATTAATT